GCCCAGGAACGCGAACTTGATTCCTGCCTGCTTCGGAAGATTCGGTCGATTGCCCAGGTTGCTGTTTGTGACTGGACGGGCTCTCACCCCAAATCCAAGAGCTCTCGACGTCTGTGGCTGCGGTCTGGTCTCATCCCGACGCGATAAGAACTACTGATACAGCGACTCCGTTGGTACCAAGCGATGCTCCAATCCCCGAAGATCACACTCGATGTATTGTGATTCTCTTTGGTCGATTTGCGTTCGAGACTTATGACACGATGATTGACGATGTACTCACTCACGGCGCGAACCCCTTTGCTCGACGGCTTGTATGTAATATATCATACCTTCTGGCACTGACCGACATGGAGGACTGGATGGAGATATGGGGTGGGTCCCGTCAACAGCTTTTTGAGGATGAGTATGGTAAGCACAGGTTTCTCAATACTGACGTTAGCGCTTGCCGTAAGCTCTACCAAGTTTGTCGTATGGGGCCCGTCATCGACCTAGGTGAGTTCCCTGACGAGGAGGAGGCGGGCTGGGACACGGCTGAGCTCAGATACAAATGCACCCGTCTCAAAGACGATGGGTCTCTGTGTGGCGCTGCAAACAGATCTCGCAAGGTCCTCACGATGCACAACACCGTCACGAAAGGCGGCACGCACGGCAAGACATCGAACATCCTGAAGTGCGCCATCACCAGCCAATGCCCGTGCTGCTTACAAACGTTTGCGTTTCGGAGGTCGGCAAACTCTCATGTTCAGGCCGCGTTTCGCACGGGCACTTGTGGAGTCAGTACCGCTCATGCTGTGTATCCCATCGTGAGCGTGCCGCTTGAATGCCCTGTATGTGGTGATGTTTCGTATCATGATTTGGCTCAGCTTCAGTTGCACCCCTCCACCTCGACCATGTGAGGACTGCGATGGCGGCTATGGAACCTGCTTGGGTCCTCAAACGCAATGAAGGAGACGCTGCCACAGGTGCCTCCCTGCTCCAGAAAGCAAAAGGCGCTCCTCCAACACCAGGTTCGGCAAGAGCCTCGGCGTCGCAAGGGGCCGCGGCACCACCAGCTCCACCCGGCCACGGTCGGGGAGACAAGCAGAAGAAGCCGCGGAAGGATCAGAACAAAGGACTCGGGGCTCTCGCCGACACGGGGTTCAACAGGAAACAACAGAGCGTGGTCGCCGTCTCAATCGAGCAGGTTCTCGTGACGCCCCAGATGCTACGATATCTATGGGCTCTAGGAGTGGACACGTGGCTCCAGAGCGTGGTCGCCGTCTTGATCAAGCAAGTCCTCATGACGCCCCAGCTGCTACGAGATCGATGGGCTCCAGGACCCAGCACTCCCAGAGATCGACCCAGCACTCCCAGAGATCGAGGCCGCCCGCAGCGAGGGCCAGACCTGCAGCGAGAACGAGCGAGAGAACGTGCGCTCGGCGGGTCGTGGCCACCGGTCGGGTCCACCTCACCTACATTGAAGGGGCCCCAGGACACACAAATAAATACACACAAGTAAAAGCATTCCCCATATTTTCCCTTACTTTCTGGGTTTTTGTCTTCCCCCCCACTTGCCATATGTTCCCATATTTTCCGGGTAACTGGCGATTAATTGTGTCTGTGTGTTTTTTTCCCTCCTGATGCATATCGTTCGTGGACTCGTCAACAAGCTCCTAGAGCGCACGTGCAGTCTGGGGGCAAACACCTACGAGGAGCTTCTATTATGGCACAAGGAATGGCTCTGCAAGGCGACCTTGGAGGAGGCATGGGATCGGGTGCGACCATTTCGCACCACCAGGTGCTACGACCAGGGCACGAAGAGAGTCCATCTCTGCCTCCAGAACGTGGACGGGACGGAGCAGATGCCGATGCAGGACGCCGATTCCGCCGCGCGCTCAGTGCCTTCGGGCACGCGTTTGCGCCAGCTGTTCGTCAGGGCAGTGGCCGAGGTGGACGGTCGGCGCGCGGTCGGGGCCGCTCCTCCAGGGGCCATGGAAGGAATGCTTCACCATAGTCTGCCTGAGTGATACGTTGCTCATCATGACGGCTAGCCTGTTCTACACACATCGACCTGTGATTCTTGTAGACGATGAATGCTTCGCTCTCTGCATTGGCCGATGGCGTTATCACACGTACACTCTACTTTCATGTGGTGGTGGTTGCGGGGCAGTCTTACTGGATCTGTGCTGGACTGGCTAGTGCCTCTCTTCAACCTCGACCTGTGCTACGCCGACTGCGCCCTGTCCGCGCACGGCTTCGTGCTTGTCGCCTCCCACTTGCTCATGATCTCCGCCTTCGTGAGCCTGGGCCACTTCCTGGCTCGAGGTTGCTGCTGCTGCCGCCGCCTTGCCCCTCCCTGTGTGTACATACCGTCGGTTGGTAACCTTCCGTGCAGTGCGTCGCACCCTGACTTGTCGGTGCGATGGTTCCCCAGGGCCTGCGATGTGCCCGTTGGGGCCCGCCTGGGCCCTCCTGCTTCCTCTCCTGGCTTAACCCAGCTTCGGCTGGCAGCCGCGCAACA